ATTGTTTATTATTGATAAGTAATTTTAGTACAGAAAAGTTGTACCACTTAAAAAGTAACAGGTGGATTGAAGGTAGGCTGAATTGTATCTTCTATAATGAAATATCGGTGCGTGAACAGCTATGCTTATGTGACGTGAAAAGGTTATATCTTTTAGTATTATTTTGGATTTCAACAGCAATTCACATCCACATAACTTAGAGGTCATAGTGAAAAAGTCAACCAGTGTATCTTTGAATAACTGCAGGGAAGTGAACAGATTCCAGATTTTGTTGAATTTGTTCTTCCTTACGACTACCTTTTTACCTGTACAGTGAAGTTATTTTGTGGGTTTGTAAAGAATAACAACCCTTTAAAGCTTCCGCAATTAAACTGTAAGCTGCAAGATGCATTCCACATGATTCACTGAGATATCTGCTCATCTATTTCCGAAGATGACTTTTTGACTGGCAATGAAAATGAACTGAAATCACTAAACAAAACTGCTTAGACTTCAATCATTTCCAAAGACAGTAATTAGACAGTCATTCTGGTTTAGCCATCAAAGAGATGCATTACTGCGTCTTTGCACCTGCGCTGTCGACTTGGTACTACTGTGGTTGAAAGGCAAACTAGTTTACGCTGGTTTCTCACGAACCTTAAATGCCAATTTTTTTGAGTTGGGCATGTTGATGACAACATTCAGAAGTGAGGGTTTTTCCACTCCACTGAAACCCCTGATTTCATGTCATCAAAAACATTGTTTATACCGGTTCACGGGTGATTTCTCAGTCGTTACTTTAAATTTTTCTCTTTTGATCAGTGGTAAAATAACAGCCTCCGGCCTTCTTGCTAGGACTTCTGCATTCGTTGTGGATACAGGTGGTTACATCATCAGTCCATTCTTCTGATTGTACAGTTTCGTGGTAAAATGAGAGCGTTCTGTTTGAAGAAAATCGGTAAACCTAGTCAGGCTTTGTAGTTTCGCATGTCCTAGAAGGTGAGTTATTGATGTGGAGACAAGTAGTATTCAAAGTGACAATAGAAGATATGCAGTAATCTACAATATGGCATCTCTCTCTTTGCACATTTTCAGCGTTTTCGACTTATCTGCCAAATTTTTGTAGGTGATTCTAGATGGTGATTACTTAACCTCAACTAATTATTCAAGTTCTTTTTGACCTAAAGTGGTCACAACGGCTAGGTGCTACATAACTGCCTTTCCTTTCAATGGTTAAGGAAAATTGGTAGTTTATAAGCATTACCTAGGTTTTATATGAGTATATGTCTCTCTGTGTACGGCTTAAATGTCATATGCAATTCGGTACGTCAAGAATATGGTGTATAGGGTGTTGCCTTAGATTGAGCATATGGGAACTCCTCGATTAACCTCATGATTTTAATGAGTAGTGTGGTCACAATGAGCTAACTAAGAACTCGGTGTTATAAAACAAGAAAGTGAACAGAAGTGAGGTGAAACCATGTGAATGAGTTGTTGCCAATGTTAAAATGATTCAAAATGTGACAGTGATTAACTGTGAATGCCATGAGGCTCATAACCGAGTAGAATGGATAATTATCTATAAAGTTGATTACCCTTCGTCTGCCATTGGTAATCTGCAGGACGAAATCGAAGTGTTTCTATACATAATTTTGGATATTTGTGCTTGTTAACTTGCCATAATTAAAGTGAGGATAAACCATGGAGTGTAGAATAGAATTTTCATTCGTCTATTTCCTGCAGAATAGGCAGCCGTCCTAATTCAGTAGATACTATCCCAACTTTGACTGATAAATGCTGATTTGGAAACTCATTTTAGGATGAATTAAGTTACACCAAGTTGTTGAGTTTCCATTAGGATGAAAGCATATTCAAAGCTAAACTACTAACCAACATTTGAATAAAAGCCATCTCAGTTTCTTTGTTCAGTAGGCACAGCACTGGAATGGTAGCCTAAAAACCCACGTGAACCAAGGGGTCTTATAGAAGTGTATCTTAATAAAAGACGTATCAGGTAAGTTCGTGACCGTATTGAAGGTTCTGCTTTCGAACACTTTTAGTTATGTTATAGCCTGTGGTGAGATATCAGGTGAGTTGTGTGCGTTGACTGGTGTCGTTCAGCGATGTATAGTCTCCTCGTTCATATTTAGTCTTGTTACAGACGTAGTTACAGAAGTGTTCCTTCCCTTTCTTGTCTTGCAAGAATTAAAGTTTCTACGGTAGGTTCCTTTGTAAGCTTAGAGTGTGCAGATGAAATAGTCCCGTTAGGTGAGATATCTAACAAGGTGCAGTATCTTCTGGAAAACTTGATTAGCAATTTGGAAAATTCCAGGATGGATTCCTCCCTATCCGAATGAGAATCGCTGTTAAACGACTGGTCTGCGTTGTGTACTCCGTCTAATAATAAGGAATGGAAAGACTCAACTCGTTGACTACTTCAGTTACAGGGGTATTCAGATGAACCCTAGAGGGTCTATGGCTGAATAAACATGTCCAAGCACATAAAATACTCATTCATTGCACGCCAGGTAACGACATCTATAAAATCGAAGTGATATCCTACTGTATATTCATAGCCGACTGCAGTGCACCACAGTTCATCCCCTCTCACTACATACCAGTGAAAGCTGGACAGTAAGGTAGAGGACATGAGGAGGCTACAGGTGTTCGATCACCATTGACTTCGTAGCATAGACCATGTGTCGTGGTGTCAACAAGTCAGTGATGTAGAAGTTAGGTGCTGAGTTCGAGGAAGGAGAGAAAAGTCAGTAGATGGGGTTGTAAACCTTTATCTGATCAGGCTACTGGGACATGTGTTACGCACGTTTAATCACGCAAAGTCAGGTGGTTGGCTTAGACTAGAAAATTGTTAGGAGTGGCAAAATTAAGACATGCATCAGTCCCTAACTTTTGGTCTGAGCTATGTGGCGGAATGCAGACTTCTCGGTTGGGATTAATGTGATAACCAATATCAGTGGTTGAAGAGTGTAGGTGATATCACTCGTAATCAATATCACTGGCACAAGTGTATCCATGCATTATCTTCATGTCAATCTTCTAGCCGAACATCACTGTTGTATTTTACTTCTTTTTTTTATGACTTCCAATGACTTTGATCACCTTCTTGCTTGTTTACCCAGCTTTCGTGTTTGTGCCTTCTGTGTTGATGAACTGATATCAGATGCTGAAATGTGAACCATTATGCAGTAATACCAGGTAAAATGTCAATCCTGACTGGTTAACTTAAGAGATGCTACCACTTAAAATCGGACTATTTTCACCTTCAATCATTACTCCGTACCGTAAAAACGAGTTCACTTTCTGAATGAAACAAATCCATGTACTCTGCTGATGCACTTCGCTCAAAATGGTCATAATAGTCGTCTGGTATTTAGATCTCCTTGACCCAAAAAAGATGGAATTAGTGATCGAGATAACTGACTTACAACTATCCGTGTATATATATATATATATATATATATATATATATATATATATATATATATATATATATTCCTTTTGAGAATACCTTATTTATGCATATACAGGTAATCCTTGTGTAACCTTGCCTGTAGGTTTATTCGACAGCTGCCATTTTTTATATCGTGTTTTTCACAACTACTAGGATTGCTATACTCATTTCTTTGTCTTCTTACTTGTTGATATTTCATCTGTACGGTGACGTTTGGTGTGATAACTCAGACCTAAATACTGTAATTCCAGGCTTTGTATTGCTATGTCTGCTCTTAGGGATTATTTGCCTACTTTAAACGATCGGACTTCTGAAAGCCTAAATACATATTGTACACTGGTTCAGTGGTGAATTTTCGCTTTTTTTCCCTAGATGATTCCAGTTCATTGATTTTTATCTTAAGCATATTTTTTTCAATGCTGTTAATCTCCAGTGTTCACGTGTGGTTTTCAGGACAATTCATTTAACTCTGGATCCAGTAACTACTGTAAGAGACTGGTGATAATTCGCCTCAATTGGACCGGTGAGTAATGCAGGTCTTTATACTGTAGAAGAGAGAATAAATATCTCTTCGGAATAACAGAGGAACATCTTTGATTTGTATTCACAAGTTCGTGAAGACTTCTGGAAGTCAAAAGTCTAATACCATGCAACGCCGTATCAAGTTGCTTAGTTTAATGCGCACCTCTGGTGGCGCGATAAATATGCACTCAGACTGTTCTAAATGTAGTGCGCAAATACATCACATTGTTCAGATAAACTTCGTCTTCTAATTACGCTATCGAAATTAATAAGTGGGCTAATTGTTTCAAATATGCACTCAGTCACTATTATGTCTTATCTTTGACAGCTGTGCTGCTATGAGTAATTAGCCTGCATCTAATCACAGTTTACGTGAGTATTTTTTGAGCAAATATAACAGTTATTTTTAATTTGACTTACTTTCCCCTTGATAGTTAACGGAAATAGTAATGCTGTAGCATAATCCAAATATCGAGGCTCACCACAGAATATCGATCAATCATCACACAATGCTATCACTAGTCGTGCAAACACTGCTAGTTCACCACAACTCAAGATGCAACTGAAAATGACATACGTTTTTGCAAAGAATGAATATGTAAAAGTTTCTTCAATTTTTTAGCTGTAGATGAAGTTTAAAAAAATTCAGTTAAGAGTATTGTGACAACTACAACATATAAGCGGTATTCTAGAAACCAATAGAGTACCATTCACCAAAAAGAGCTATCGCATTATATCAATATTTATAGTAAGGCTTTTCTTCAGGCAGTTAATCTGTATAGACGCTAAATAATTCGAAACAACCATAATAATAATAATGCTTCATTATAACATCTCACTGAAATTTTATCAAGTGTCCCACGATCAATTTACAGCCAATTATGAAAACTCTGAAGTGACCAATCGAATGGATTACCAATGATTTGTCTACTTATTTGTTTTGATAGAAATCTACCAATCAGAATGCAGAACCATTTTAAACTGTATATCCCAGTTAGTATTAAAAGTAAATAAATTCTGAGACATATAATTAAAGTTGTTTTATGGAATTTAAGCAAATTAATTGGATTAATACTTTGTTCAGTGGAAATGCATAGACGTACCTCAACTGTGGATAATCCATGTTATGGAGAAAATGTCAGACAATCAATGGAGCCAAATATGATGTATTTACCGACAAAAGAACTGCGTAGAGTTTCAAGAATTCATAGAAAATCCGAAGGAGGATGCTGTCAATTTGACAATATCAACAGAAAGTATTCCACATCAAGTAGATTAGAAGAGGAAGCGAAACAAAACAGATATCGTGTGAACTATCATTCAGACGAAGAATGCACTTGTCAGTCAACCAATTCACAAAGAAGACGCAGGTACAGTTTCTCTCAACTGTTACTGAGAAAGGCTTCCAGTATTTCTAAGCGATTTCGATATTACATGGTCCATAGTGTAGCATTATTCCACGAGGACTTATATGGCTTATCGTGGTCTGAAGCACATGATATATTACAGTCAAACTATAACAATCCTGTTGAACTGATTGAACCTTGTTATACCCATTTAAAGAAACCGAGAAAAATCCGTCACTACAGTACATCAGCTATACCTAATTATTGTAATTTGACCAGTAATCTGACTTCAAACAGAATCTCAGACGTGAATCCAACACAAAAACACCCAAGACTTTATCATCTAGATAAACCACATTATATTCAGTGTAAAGCGGTTGAACATGATTTAACGGAGAGTAATACAAGCTACTTAACAAAAGAGCATGACAGACTTCAAAATATAAGTAGTACGACAAATATTTCTGAAGTACTGAAGAAATCCACTGTGACTGGCAAAGGCAATGACACTTACAGACCACCCACTGATGAACTGTACCCAACTCCAAGTGAGTCGCACAATACCCCATTGAATATGGCAGCATCAACAGTAAACAGTGAACTGTTAATGAATTCCTCGACTCATACGAAAGTCAACACGACATCAAACTGTACACAGGAAAGTGGAGAGTATCAAAGTGAACTACAGGAGGAAGAACAACAAGAAGACATACACCAGAAATCACCTGCAGATACTTTAAATTTCGACAAAATTACACTCAGCCAAATAGTGACGGTCAGCCACAAAAGATGAAAAGTAAACTACACATCAGGGATATTAAAGGCTGGTTCATCAGTTTGACTGAACGTCGACAAAGGGCATCGACAGAGTTAGAACAGTCGTCAAACGACGTGAATGGAGATAAACTTAAAGGCAGAAAATTCCACAATTCCCTGTCAGTTGGAATCAGTAGTCATTGATTGACAGTTTCTGTTATCGTCATCACTGTTGGTTAATTATATCAGTGTACAAAATGAGCATGATTGCAATGGACCTTTTAAAATCTAGCCAAGATAAAATAAAACTGTACAGAAAATTTTTATTTTTTTGCATTTAAAACTGAAATATTTTCTCCGATAGGTTGGTCAACTTTAGTAAATATAGACATAATATGTTGGTTTCTTTTTGGGAAAAAGTAATTATTTTTATTGATTTAGTGCTTTTTTTAATAATAATTTCATGCACAGATCCGATTATATTTGTACTTATTATCTCATAATAGCCGATGTCAAAAAATGCAGGGCATTTGCAAGCAAAACTGACAAATATTGGGAATTGGAACCATTTCAGGAGCTTGCAGGGTTGAGGCCGGTTTCCTGACCCTGGTCATAAGCAGGTGGTGTTTGCCAAAGTAGTCTTTCCGAATCCGGACGGTGAGCAGCGGTAAGTGTAATTCCATTTCTGACGCTTTCTTTGCTTCCAAGATTATGATTGTATACGTAGCTGTAAATCAAATGTTAGTGTGTAGGCGTGTTTGGCGGCCAGTATAGGTGGTGAAACGATTAACTCAACAGTGCTGTGAGTACTGTTCAACATGGTAGAATAATAATATATTGAAAATTTAACACAGGAGTAAAATTTTCAGGTTGAGTGCTGACGTTGTGAAACTTCAGAGAATGAAATACTTTGAATAATTGTTGTACATGCCAAACCACTACCTAACTCAACCTGCATTGTGAGGCGTAGTTGGATTAGGTTAGAAGAAAGCTTATGGTGGCCAGACCAAGAGATGGGACAAGTAGATCAAGTTCGTGACTGCTGTTCTGAGTCGTGTATGGAGGTGTAGACTACCTGACTGGGATCCGAGAGACAATAGGAATCAGTGTTTGAGGAATCTTGGTGACAGAGGTAATAATCAGTCACATTGGAGTAGATGTATTCACTCTTTGACGTCTTCTAAAGCCTGAATATTTGCACTAACGGTTATCTTCATATTATCTATTCTCTCACAATACTTCATCTACCTTGATATTCCTCATATTCTAGCCACCTGATGTTTGTGTAGTACTGTGAAATGTGGCGACTTGAACCTTCGTACTTGTGGACGAGATTCTACGTTGATTTTGTCTGTCTGTCTGACTGTGGTAGATTGTAACTCCATTTCATTTTTTTAATCAGATATGTTACATACTGAAGACGTTTTATGTACTGCATTATGTTTCGAAGAGAATTTGTTGTCCATAGTTATATCAAGTTATCCGACAGCTTTGAGACGGTTTATATAGTTTTAACACTTATATCATATCACAAAGAAGAGATTACTAGAACTATGTGAATCATTCCACAAAGTTATTGAGTTACCTGATATGACTATGAATAGTGAGTTTTGTCTAAAACTTAATCCAGTAAATAATACTGTTCCACTGTGAGATACGTCCGATAAACAAACCAAAATAGAATGCTAAAAATCTGTTTCCAACTCGACAATTTCTTATATAATCCAATGACAACTGAGAGATCAGAGTACATCCCAGTTTGATCACACGCCTTTAAATCACTAGGAAGATTTATCATGCGGTTCTTGAAGATTTCAGACGGTGACAGAGGGAATGATATACAAATGTGCATTTGAAAGTACATCCTGATCCCATATCTTTTCTAGTAAAACGTTTCGAATGTGTGCACCATATATCTCTACAGTTTTAAAAATAAGTTGACTGTCGATTTCTCATGACTACTGATTTCTTTACAGAATTTTCATTTTGAAGTGAAAACTTTCAGTAGTAGGCTTTAAAAGACAGATATCTTGGCAATGTTGGTTTCAGTCCTGTAGGAGTGATCTGCAGCCGCTTTTGACCTCTATCTTGAATGCCTAGTATTCACATGAAGAGCTTGATAGGAACCTACTGAGTAAGATTTCTTGTATCATTGAATTTTTCCTGTTTTGTGAATTGAAATTCGGTCTGAAAATAGTATTACAGAATTTTCCGTTGTTTAACGCTTGCAATTAATCTTGGAGAAGGCATTGTCCACGGAATTTCACTGTTAATCTCAGAAGAGGCTACTTTAGAAAACACCAGTGATTTTGTAGCAACTTACAAGTTTTGATGGACTGACCTATTTCCAATCTCTCGTATTTGTAGGGAACATAACTTATTGAAAGTGAATGGAAAATATTTCCTTTGTTACAATCAAACGTTAGTGACTTTATTTTCCTATCTTGAAGTGACTTGACAGTGAATACTGTTCAAATCTTGAGAGGGTGAATAAAGGAGATTAACGTCACACGATTAGCACAATGACTGGCCAAACTCTAATACCATTAAATCCATCTTTTTAAGGGTGTATGTGAGTGGAGTACTGAAGAGTTTAAAAGAAATGTGCAGCGACCTGAAAGCCTTTCATCTTCTTGTGATATCCTGCTTGATTTATCACTGGCGAACGTTGTCTTACGGTATACTTACTTCGTTGAAATTAATACTGCAATCGAATGGACAAGTCTATCAGAGGTCAACATGAAAACTATAATTCTGAGTAAGTATTGAAATAAGAGAGTTCCGGTTTACTGATTACGAAAACTACTTTGCAGACATAATGAAGTTCCATACTTAACTAGTCATGACTTAAATAACTTGATGGTAGGTATCTGTTGATACTAGTAATTTCCCATCGTTATCCTAGATCAAAATGATCGACCAGTATTAGCTTATGGGCTCCTATGTTAACGTCCTGATATTACCCAAAGATTCATTTTGTTATAACTAGTTGATAGTGGCCAGCAGTGGAATCAAGCAATCATATTTCGTCCTGTTTAAAACTCGACAGGTGAATAAACCTGCATCCCAGGGAGTGGTGTCAACTCTACTGAGATTTGAATTAAGTGCCTATCGCTTCAAACGCCAAAGTGTTACCTAGCCAGTAGACTACAGAGGCAGAATAGCCCCTTCTTCTGCAGCGGGTATCAAATTTTAATCATTGATACCAGTAATTTCCCTTTCCTGGTAGAGTCTCTGGTTTAAAGACTGGTATATATTATATATATATATATATATATATATATATATATATACATATATATATACATATATATATACATATATATATATACATATATATATATACATATATATATATATATATACATATATATATATATATATAAATCTCCTAGGAAATGTAGGCGATTTCCTCAACATTAGAGATGGATCTTGGCGATTAGCGCACTAATGAATTGGAGCTTTCGAGTGATTAACTTCTAAATTTCCATCACTGCCGTACAGTTGAATAGTGACTTAAGCAAAATCTTGAAAGTGCCAGCAAGCATCAAGCATTAATTTTCAGTTATCAACACCAGAATTGGCAAACTGGAAATCGAAGTATTAAAAAATGCATTGTCGGTGCAAAATAACTTGGACTGGTGATACGGTGGTTCAGTATAAGTCGCCTGAGCTGCAGTTTAGGTTATAAAACGCTTCACCGTACCTTCAGCCTAGGAAAAAATTCAATCAGAGAAAACGTAGTGCACTGTGAGATTTAGTGAATTAGAATGCTGGAATATTTAACTGCTAAGCGGTAAATACTCGTAAGCAGGGAATTTTCGGGAGAGTTAAAGCTCAGAAACAAGTATGTTATTATAAGCAAAAGAAATAAAGGGATTTCAGCGTTTTAGTGCACATGTAACAAATATAAGTCACCTTACGTTTCTTCTGTTCCACCTGGGCAATCACCTAAAATCTTCACAGCTCAAATTGATATTCTTGTCAGGTGACTGTCTTTTAGATTTCTGACTCCTAACATCCTTCATTTGGAATTTCTTTGCAAATTGTCCTACCTACAGGTTGCTTCATCTTGGCTTTTATATATCACAAATAAAGTGATATGCTATCTGTTTTCAGTCAGAAAATCAGTAAAAATACTAGGTAACCAAGCCCTAGTTGATAACTTATTTTGGGGTCAACAGTGTTGTACCGAAAGAATGAAGTCATCGTTCTTTAAATATTGTCCATATTTGCAGTTCTCCAATTCACCTATATTTTCTTAGAGATTGTTTACTGGTACTTGTAATTTCCGGTTGCTATACTAAGTCGGATTCCTTGACCTATGTTGGCTGAGCTACTGTTTTGGTCTCCAAGAGTCTCATTGTCATGCTAGACGCTATCGCGAGTGTACCAGAGCACTTATGACTATGTCTAACATGGCACTGAAGCGTTTTCCAAAGAAAATTGTAGCTCACAGGATAGTTCACTATGATATATTCGTTGAAGCATCCATATTTTCTGAGATTAAGTGAATGTATCCCAGTATACCGATATTCAACACCACTCCTAAATAACAGCACAGTCATCCATTGTGTGTATATTTTTCAAATATAGTTGGATGATCCCTTTTGTAAATAAGTATCTAACTACTTGTATTATTCAGTAGTATGTTTGCCAAATTGAATCACTGTCCGAAAAAAAGCACTGGATTGTCGTATTATTACTGTAAAGATTTTAGGTGTTGATCTATTGGACAGTTAGCCAAATAAATCAGCTTTTATTCTACTGATTATTTTTTTCCTTTGCCTGAAAAAAGTGGAAACAAAAAATCTGGGATGATGCTTAGTTGTTTAATTTGAAAGTGTATATCTTGCTTAGGTTTACTTGTTGACTAGATGACGTTTAGTGAAATTGTGTTTAACGGTCCTATTCACATGGTTATAATTCATGATTGCCGGGACTCAGAAGCAAAGGGTAGTGTTTATGTTGAAGAGAAAAAAGCTCAGCATATCTACTTAAATGTCACAAACCCCTTTTGGATGCTAGATACTATTAATTTATTGAGGAGAACTAGAACTAGAACCTAATCATAGCACATATTTGCTGACGGTCAGCAGCAATACATATCTACCCCATCACGTCACTTAACTAAGTGTCTGCATTCCAAATCGAATCGGTGCCAAGCTACCACCCAATACTTACCATGTGAATGCAAAATGCAGATGATTCACAGCTGGAGTCAAAGAACATCTTACTTATCATTTTGAATATAAGAGATTGCTGTGGTTCGGCAGACTAGTATTGATAATGGGTGATGATTAAAGGTGAAATGAAATCTTGAGCCGCGGCAGGATTCGAACCAGCAGCCTCTGGATTTTCGACCCCATGCTCTACCAACTAAGCTTCAA